GAGGATGTAAAGGCTCAGAAGTTGATTAATGTTGCCTGAAAGGAGAGAGAAGCATTTTCTAAATATGAGTTTTAAATACACTTGATTTAAATACAGTTATTATGAAAAACCATAATACTGTAAAACTCAAAAACCCATTTTTGAGATGCGAGGACCATACTTTACAGCAGCTGTGTGTCTATGTGTGTGTGTGTGTGTGTGTGTGTGTGTGTGTGCAGCTCCTGCCATGTGCCTGCCGTTCCATGACTTCCCCCAACCCCCCCGAGGTGCAGGAAATTCAGGCCTAGGGATTAATACCTGGGTTGGCATGGCGATGGTGACGTGGGGCCATCGCCATGTGAGAGAAACAAGTGATTTAAGAGAGGATGAATGTGAGGAGGCGAGAGAGTGAAGATATTCTCTTGGCTCTGGGAACAAATGGATCTGATGTCTCTGATTTGTTTGCAGTGCACCAGAAAAGTACAATAAGAAACATTACAAGCACAACATTAAATCAATATGAGCTCAGGACTGATTGGATTCGTGATCAATACCAGTGACTCAACAATTTCCTGGCCAGCTGCTGAGGTTTCTGGTTCTTCAGTATCTTTTCTGGCATTTGGAAAAAAATCTTGGTCATTATTTTTATCACAATAAATCCTGTGAGCGAACTGTGGCCACAGTTTTGACCATGTAGGCAGAAAAAGTGAAGGACAACTTAGGAGAGAGTGAGAGAAAGAGAGAGGTGAATGGGTGTACAAGAGAGCAAGAGGGAGAAGAGGCTTAGCTGATAATTCTTCTTAAAGCTTAGATGAACAGCTGATGCACTGTGCACTTAATTCAATTACACACACTCCCAGTGGGCCGTTGTTTGTCCCTTTATGATGATGAGACTTCCTATTTTTAACACACTGGGCAGAAAAAGTGACAGAGAGGAAAAGAAACTAATGTTGATAATAGATTCCCTGTGGGTGTTATGTGTGAATGCTTCATCACAACATCTTTCTCATATAAAGTGAAAATATATTTTTTTAAATAAAAAAAACATCACTTCTTTATGCTTTAATTATTACAGACTTGAAAACTGAATTAATAGAATATCAAAATTGGCAATCCATTTTCTATAAGTGATGTCAGTTAATTTATAGAACACATTTAAAAACAAGTTGACCAAAGTGCTAGTCAGCTTCTATATGTGCACAGACTTTGTATTTGTGTGTGTGTCTGTGTGTGTGTGTGGGAGAAAACTGGTTTGCGTAGGCAAACTACTCTGGTGTTTTAACTCAGGGTCAATTGTGTACCAGGAATCTGTCTGTTATGATATCTGTGAAAACATACACCGAGGCTTACACACTTTGCCTCAGGCGACTCTGGAGTTATGTCATCGTATGAGTGTTGTTACTTCACTGTGAGAAGGAAAGTTCCTTGCACACGTGGCACACGCAACAGCTGTCAGGTCTGAATCGTTCATGAATTTGAATATATTGGCCAGGGCATACTGTCTGTACTGTAGCCCTCCCTGGATGGATAGGATTAACATACGTCATGTAAATGATATGCTGTAGTCTGCACTGCTATCTTCCTCTTTGCATTAATATGTTTTTGCTTAGGTGAACACAAAGGTTAACACTTCCTGTGTTTTAAGTCTTTGTGCTAAGCTTACTTAGCCAGCTGTTGGCTATAGATCTGTATTTAAAAGGTAAATATGAGACGCGGACAAATATGAGTGCAAATTAGCAAAATTAGCATTTACTAAAATATGAAATTGTGTTTGTGTTGTACAAATTGATCGTCCAATCAAATTTGCGGTGAACAATAGCACAATATAACCATAAAAACATGAAAGGGGAATTCCATTAGGTTAAATATGTTATTGTAGCAGAGATACGAATGTAGAGATGAGGGAGGAGTGCGTTTCCCAGGAAATCTGAGTGTCTGCAACAAGAATGAAGGCATCAGTGCATTCCTCTTTTTGTATTCTTGTTCTTGTGCTGGTCGCCCTCTTCTGCTTTTTTCTTTGCTGCGACTTGTTTTTCTCTTGTGAATAATTTATTCAGAAAAATAAATAGTCAAATTTGCTGCAGTGGTTTACGGAGCAAAAATGACAGCAACACTGCGACTCCAAAAAAAACATAGACACATTGTTAACCCTTCCTCCTTTTTTTATTTCACGTTATTGTGTTCCAGTCTTTTCCTGCCTGCCCTCATCTTCTGGGCATTGTTAATCTGCCTCATTTTCTATTTCTGTCTCAGTTTCCTGCTGACACACTCATAACGTATACACACACGCACAAACACAGGCATTCACACAACACACACACACATGCACACAACACACAAGTTGCATTTCCTCACCCAGGGTCAGAATGTGTCACTTTGTCTCTAATAACCAAAGTAAAACAACTAATGATGGATGAATGAACTGATTGCTTTACAGAGGTCAATAAAACAGGTGCAATAAATGAGCAAAATCCTGAACCCTTGATACATAAAATACAGTTTCAAGTGACTGTCTCTGATTTTAATTCACTTCTGTGGTGGATTACTTCCACGGCCATCAGCAGTTTCCACATTGATAGATCTATCTCTGCCGCTGTAATCTGGTAAAATTGAGTTTGCAGACAAACGCATTACTTTAATTAGACAGAGAGGTGATGTTGCAGCATGAGGCTGCAGCTCAGTGGTGAATGGGCAGAAAGAGAGAGAGAGAGCGAGCACACCCAGGGGAGGAAGCCCTGCTGTCAGCCCTGCACCACTGAGACACTCCCTTGGGTGATCTCGAGGTGGTCGGAAACTTGAGTGTGAGGGGAAACACGCATGTGTGTGGAAGGACAAGATGGATGAAGAGGGAGCGTTGTCTATATACCAGCTGTGAACTGTGTGAATTAACTGAAGAACAATTAATTTGATGGATGAACGAGACACATTTGACACTCAAGAAAAGAGTCTCGACTTGACTTGAAACTGAATGAATGCATTTTTAATTTTAAGTGACTCCATATATTGACATGTCATCAGACAGGTCTTATGTGGAAATAAATATCGTCTAATTAAATTCTACCAAAATCTGTAACGCACAACTTTAAAATGCATTTAGTCAAGATTATACTGCGGAAATGGTCTTTTATTTATTTTCTATGTGTACAGTGCCCTCATTCGATCACCATTATCCTTTATACAATATATTTTTTCTT